ATGATTTTTTTTGAGAATCTTCTTCATTAAGTCTAGTTTACTCATACCAAATTTCAGCTAAAAATGTAATCAGGAAGGCAGTCAAATAAATGTTTGGAGATAACTGCGCATTTAAACAAATCATTTGACTACCTTCCCGGTTGAATTTTTAGGTGAAATTGGGTATGGATAAACTGGACTTAATAAGAAAATTGTCAAAAAAAATCATCAAAAAATTCCACCGGGAACCTCCCTAAATGGTGACGGCTGGACAGAGCCTCCTATAAAAGGGGTTATTTATACTTTTTCGGTTAGTTCGAGGGCTTATTTGCACTTTTCCCAAAGAAAAATACTCCATAGGTCATGAATAAACTTTCAAATTTCATTATTCGTCTGTTCTAATTAAATTTCCACTTTTTCTTTTTAATAGAGAATTTGTCGGAGTATTTTTTACAAAATTTTTAATAAGTTACAAGCGGAAAGAATAGCGGTATTTTATGAGTTTTTTTCCGGATTAATGTTAACTAATTAAATAATTACGGAATCGATGTTGGGTTAAAATTATTTACCAATATACTGCTGGGTTTAACTCTGGTCGGGAAAAGTCGCCAAGCTGTTTGCCGACTTATCAATATGTCTTGCAATTGGGCCTTGTTGGCTTGTTGGGGACGTACGTCCCCTGAAGTATGGGGAAAGTGTCTCCAGTTTGGGATGTATGTCCCCTGAAGTAGGGGGAAAGCGTCTCCTGTTGTGGACTTACGTCCCCTAAAGTGGGGAATTTCAAACTCAATTTACTCTCTGGCCTGTTGGGGACGTACGTCCCCTGAACTGGAAACTTTCCCCGACCAGAGTTAAGCCCAGCAGTATATTGGTAAATAGTTTTAACCCTCATTGAGTTTTTCCCCAGAATAATGCTAATTAAATAAATAAATCCCAAAATACTGTTGGGTTAACCGTGGTTAAAGTATTTTCTCTTACTGTACAAGAGCCGTCACTTCTTTTCATGCGGCGGCTCTTGTACAGTAAGAGAAAATACTTTAACCACGGTTAACCGAGCAATATTTTAAGAATTATTTTTAACCCAACAATATTTTGAGAATTATTTATTTAATTAGCATCATTCTAGAAAAAAACTCTAACATTAATTTGGTAATTATTTAATCAATTAACTTTAATCACGAAAAAAACTTTATTTTATCTGCATACCTTTGAGAGAGCCGGCGGCTAGTGGTGGGCCCTTTGGCCATTTCCGGTTTGACCAAGGATTCTTATTTTTTTATGGTTTCTTGACTTGTTCAGCAATATACGGTGTAAGGGTCAATCGTCATCATCATCCCCACTCTTAAAACAGGGAAACTTCACTTATCTCAGAATTCCCTTTCTAAAACCACCATCTTAGAGAGAGAAAGCAACCAGGATCGAAGAAAAATAGAGGGGGGGGAGAGAGAGAAAGAGGAATGTGTCCGCTCAGAATCATTCTCATCTTCCTCTCTGCAACTCTTGCCGGATTCTTTGTGCTTCGCAACATCAAATCTCCATCATATGCCGCCGAAAACAACGGCGTTGATGATGAATCTTCGGTCAAAGCTCCCACCAACTCATCCTCTCTGAGTTCCGCTCCTTCACGCTCCAAGGTGTTGTTGATTTTGTTCCTCTTCATTGTAATTCACCTTACGCCATTGTTTCCCGATTCATCTTCATCTAACATCGGTGCTAAATAATTCGAAATTGTTTGGCAATTTTAGGTATCCGGTATCATTCGGGAAGGATTTTGGACTTGTGTGGACATGGCGAGCGGAAAATATCTCTGGAGGCATTTGGCTTCTTCGAATCAGAAGCGCATCAACTGAACATCGCAATTGAGATATCAATGTAACAATTTCTCTTTGATATACGTAATAGATCCCGTTTTGTTTCAGAGATTCGATAAGTGGGGTTATTGTATATGCAATTACTGTGTGTATAATTGTGGATTTGAAAATTTCCAGCAATCTCAAGATCTGGTTGTCAATTTCCATGTAAAATAAATAAATCATTCCTATGTACTCTGTAGTCACACTTACCCTTTACTTGGTTATTTGATATCAGAAGCTTGGAGTAAACATAATTTATGTTAAGAAGTTGAAAACTGGTAATGCTTAACATGCCAATTTTGTTTGCAGCTGATTATATCTATGCATAGATTTCATTATTTCCTCTTGTCATTAATTACATCATAGCTATCATATTCGGAGAAGTAAAAACTTGCATAAGGAATCCACTATTATGCAGTCTGTTTGCGCTAATATAAGAATGTAAATCCTTAATGACAGTAGATGATAATTGTTAAATGACTTTTCTATATCCGTTCAGTGTGTTATGATATTGTTGTGTGTCAGGATTGTTTAGGCATCTTGCATGGAAAAGGTATACTCCGCATATGGTATATCCGGTGTGTTGAAGATTTGTGGTGCTTGTTCATTCAAACATGATCGTTACTTACTTATATTGCACCAAATTATCAAAACTTGTACATTCTGATGTCAAATTTATAGCCTTTGACAAGTTGTCTGAACATGATTAAATGTTAAAATTATTCCATTTTCCATAACGATGGCAGACGAGAATGTCTTAAAGTTAGTATTTCCGGTGTTACGTCCTTCCCATATTTCCCAAACTGAATGTCATAGGGATTAAGTTCGTAGGATCATGACCTTGTTCTGGTTTTGAATCGTTTTGGATGTCCGGTTGTGCAGTTGTGCCCACTGACAAGTAGTGTCCGAACGTTGTCCCTAATATGGATTCTCGAGAATTTCTACGGAGTTTAAAATTTCATCAGAATTTAGGTGTTCCTGGTTTGGATTTTTGTGAAATCTATGAAAATAATGATGTTCTCAAACATTACGTGAATTTCTATTACAAAACATTACACCACAAATCTTGTAGGCGCCAAAACATTACATCACAAATCTTGTAGGCGCCATTCAGATTTTAAAACCCATAATTTATTGAAATCCATCAAAGTTATAGTCGGGGACACCCCCTAAATTTGTGATCGAAAAAGAGGAAATCCATGGAATATGAGTAAAATAGTTATTGAATTTCAAAATATAAGAGGATATTTTCTAAATATCAGTAAATAAGTTACTAAAAATATATGAGTAATGACAGATGGTGGTACCGGGATACTATTAGTGGTATATATTATTGTAGAGAGAAGGGTGAACTAGAGAGAAAGTGAGAATATACTTTAATTAGTCATCCATTACAAAGCTCAAAATTGGAGTATATGTAGGCGAAACGTGGGATGGGTTGTTAGGTTGGGTCAAGCAGGCCCAATTACATAAAATCGGGCTAATGGGCTATACTAAAGCTAATCCGTGGAGGGGTGTTATGAAGTGCCGAGGGCTCAGGACCGAGGGCATAATGGCCGAGGGCTCATGACCGAGAGGTACTGGCGTATTGCCGAGGACCTACCCAGGGATCTCGCTAATGGGTGCTGCCAAAGAGTCACTGAGGGGTCCCGCCTAAGGATGGACTCGGGCTGGGCCGGGTCAGGAGTGATCCTGATCCCAGGCGAACTTCGTGACTCTAAAATACAGGCCTGGTATTTGACCGGTTTGTACTGGTACTGGTTCCGGTTTGAGATACCCGGCCGCACATCAGTCTGGGCTCGAGTCGGCTCGGTCAATGGGATTAAAGAAGTTTTATTTTTTGAATTCTAATCGTTAGGCCCGGACGGGCCCTTGACCGGCTGAGTCGGTTCACCAAAATCAGAGCCCGAGTGCCGTTCCAAAAATTTCCCGGTTCGAGTACTGGGTCGGGTCGACCCAGTCCCACTCCATCCCTAGTCCGCCGAGAGCACGTGTCTGGGTTGCATGAGTATGTGGAACAAGGATGTTGGACCATATACTCCATCAAGTAAATAATGTCAAGTTTGAAAAATATTACTACGTATCATATTTAAAGCATGATAATGTCAAACTATAACAATATTACTACGTAATGGATTAAAAACATAGTCATATTTTGATATTCATAAACATTCTTACTCCATTTTAGGATTATTTCTTAAAAACTAAGTTTGTCTTAAATGGATAACATTCACCTAGTTGTAATTCATTCTTATGTTATTTACATTTATCTATCCAATATGAGACACAACTCAATTTTTCTTAGAAATTTCATCACTTTCGTATGTGCCAATCTCAACGATTGAAAAACAGGAAGGCTGTATTAGTTTTTAATGAGTGTTAAAACATTATTATTGGTACCAAAACATCTTTGTTGGAATGTCTAGAAAAAGAAATATCGTATATAATTCAAAGCCCAAGTTCGAATTTCAAAACTATTATTTTGATCTCGAGTTATTTTGAAAACAACAATTCATTGTTCCAAGGAGTATTTTGGAACAATTGAAAACAACAATCGTTTCAAGTTTTCTTTCCAATTATATACTAGCAAAAAGGAGTATTATGTTTTTTTTACCGGTGAGCGTAGCTCAACCGGTAGCAAGAGAGTGCCACAAGGGTTAGGTCCCGGATTCGAATGTAGGCAACTGCGATGAGAGGTTACTATACTAAAAAATGCATAGAACCTCTGTAAGTACCGGAGACAGAACTTCACTCTCTATCTGTCAGATTGGGATTAGAGTTGAGGGGCCCTCAGGGACGGGGTGTCATCCTTTTTTTTTATGAGTGAATTTTTGTCATAGATTGGAGTTTCATCACCATTGTTGAGTTCCAATTTTTAAACGAACCCATGGGCTCTACTTTAGTTAGATCACGAGGATGTGCACGTTCAGGATTTGAAGCCGACACGCTCAATATTAATCACAAAAACAAAACAATATCATGTGCGCCCGATTAGAATGACCGTAATCACACCATTTTTTACCATAAATGAATTTAACATATTTTCACGATGAAAACCCCAAATCAGTGTTGAATATCATTTCGGATGGAGATACAATGAATTTCTAATGACGATATCGGTCACTACATAAGTGTTTAGTTTTCAAGAACAAAGAAAGCGGCAACGATAAGAGATCATCAACTTACGACTTTTCATTTCACAAATCAAACCCATGTTCTAACTTCTTTACACATATGTACACAAAATAAATCAGTCGATAACAGACGTGAAGAAAATAAATCAGGAAACAAACTAGCCATTAGTATACGAATATATGTACAAAAATGAGAATTAGGGCCTGTTTGGGGAGCATAGTATGCCATGAAAAACGAATCATTTTTTACATGAATGGCTGAAGTAGACTCATTTCAGACTTTTCAACAGAGGCATTTCTGCCAGACGGGTCCTCAAGGTAGTTGTTCAGCCTGTTGCACCACTGGTTGCTCCAACTGTGGTTCACATTGCCAGACCCAAACAATATCTTGAAGGCCAGGCCTTAACCGCTCATTCACTACCTTTTGGTATTCCAATGTATCCCCATTTGCCTTCTTCAACTCCACAAGAAAAACATCAGAGGTGACCTCAAAGATTTCTGCATCTATACATAAAATGCCCTTCCTACCCTCCTTCACCCCTTCAAACCTCAACAATCCTGCATCCCTTTTGGTCATTTTCAGCTTCAGACGCTTAGCCAAATCCTCTAGCTTGGAGATTATCACCGATGCAGGTTTCCTACAAGTGAATCTAACTTCTTTCTTCACACAAGGTTCCTCAAACAGTCTAGTTAAATCAAAACCAGCAGAAAGTGATATGATATCAAATGCATTCAAGTTTGATAATCTTGATGATGACATCTCAGTTTTGTCTTCCAAGGTTCCAATTACCTCCATTGGGCTTATGATGTTCTTGTTTTCAGTACACTTGGAAGAGGTCCCACTTTTGAACCACAGGGAGTCCTTAATTTTTGCCATTGAAATTCTTGTAGTAGGATTGGGATCCAGCATTCTTGAAAGTAGTCTCCTAACCTCAGGTGGAACCCAGTGGGGACATTTGAACTCTGCTTTCCCTATCTTCCTATACAACTCCATCAAATTTGGGTCATTGAAAGGGAGATAACCGGTAAGCATAACAAACAGGATGATCCCACATGACCAAATATCAGCTTTACCCCCGTCATAACCTTTCCTATTGATCACCTCGGGAGCAACGTAAGCTGGGGTACCACAAACAGTGTGAAGTAGCCCATCTTGATGCTTTGACTCGGCAAGTGCACTCAAACCAAAATCGGATATTTTTAAATTTCCATCTTCGTCTAAGAGTAGATTCTCGGGTTTCAAATCCCTGTGATAGACACCTCTACTGTGGCAGAAATCAACAGCATTTATTAACTGATGAAAATATTTCCATGCTATGGATAATTTCAGCTTCCCCTTGGCCACCTTGTCAAATAGCTCACCCCCTTTGGCTAGTTCAAGGACAAAATATATCTTGGTTTTTGTGGCCATGACTTCATAAAGGTGCAGAATATTAGGATGCCTCACTAGTCTCATAATGGATATCTCCCGTTTGATCTGATCCACAAGTCCAACTTTCAAAATCTTTTCCTTGTCTGTGACTTTGATAGCAACACTTTCCCCAGTTATGAGATTCCTGGCATAATAAACTTTGGCAAATGTGCCTTGGCCTAGAAATCTCCCTAATTCATATCTTTCCATCAGGACATTTCCTCTAGAAGCCATAAAAAGATAAATGTATCGCCTGCACTAGTGCGGTATGAAACAAACCAAACAAGCTCAAGAAAGATAGAGATCAACCATCCTCCGACTGATCATAAATCGAAAGAAATAGAAACTTGGAATTTCCCTGCCCATTTTGAATCTTAAGAGTGTCAGCCAATGTTATGTTGTCTTCAGGAGGCTCTGAACCTGTTTCTTCAAAGAAGTACTTCAACTCTATAAATGCTAAGATCTTTTGTATTTCAGTGTAAAATCTCCAGATGCTCAAACACATCTTTCAGCATTCCTTTGATCTCTTGTTTCAAAAAAAACAAAAACACACAGACAACAGAGAAAGTCTATACTTCACCAAACAACCAAGAGACAGTACTATGCAGTACACAACCAATTTCACTGGCAGCTATTGGGTTTAGCCTGAAAGCTGGAGATAAAGCAAGAAGGACAGCTTCTGATATCACACACAAAAGAAGATTGTTAGTCTAAAGTTCTGACTAACAGCTCTACCGGAAAACTATTTCATTCTCGATGTTAATTTCGAATATTGAAGTTTGTCAATTTAATCATAAATATCAGTTTTGAGATATATATCAGAACCATACGCCATCAATCAATTAATCTATCTATCAAAAATCAATTACGAAGGAGTAGCAGTTTAGAAAACAAGGTTTAATCCGAAGTAGTAAATTGACTATTAGTGTCCTATACATCGGTGAAGCAGTGTATAAGACAAGCAACAGTAGGAACAACATAGAGCTACCTGGAAGAACATGATGGTTGATCGTCACGGGAGATAGATAAGGGACGCAGTATAGAGCTGATCGAACCAGAAGGAATTGAAGGTCGTAATCGCAATCGCCGTGTTATAGAAGAGATTTCTCTCCCAGTGCGCTTCATCCGTCCAATTGTGGACACTTGGACAGTCACGAGCAGCTTGTTAATCTTCCGGAGGATCTAGAATATCCATCATTCTTACCGGTCGGATCCTGTTTTCAAATGCTATCAGGAGACCCGAGTTTGTTTTCCTGTTCCGGAATGGCTGGAAATAGGAGTGAGCAGGATCCGGAACTTTCCCGTAAATTGGTAAAACTCGTAATGTATCCGTGAGTTTTTTAACGGTCCGGTACGGTCCGGTTCCACGGATAGAACCGTTCGGTACAATGTCGTTTCGGAACGGTACAAAACGGTACAGTACAATGCCAAACACATGCTAAATTTTTTGAACAAATCTTACAATTAGTAGATATCATCACACCAACCAACTCACATGAAATGTTAAAATAAATACAAGAAATTGCATATCTAGTACTAAAATTCACAAATACACAAATAGTGCAACACAACTAAGAAAAAGTATAGCAAAATGATTACGCACGAGATAAACATCATTTTTAATTTACTAAGTTCATATGAAAATATAACAACGAATATCATCAAATTGTTGAATATAATAGAAATCTTCAACGTTCTTCTTCGTCGTTCTAGGTTAAATATTAATCCGTGGTTCTAATTTAATTTATAGTTGAACCTTGAGAGCTAAGATTTAAACCATATTAATTAAGTTGTAAAAAATGCACAAACATGATACAACAAAAAGTCATGTACACTATATTACTAGAAATAAATAATCATTAATGATTTCTAAAGTTTTAATATTCTTTCAATACATACCAAAATATAACATAAATTATCTAAAAAGAAAAACTAACAATATATATATATATAAACAAATTTTAGATATCTTAGGGACACATGAATACATACTTGGGGTATAAAAATGTTGGTCTAGATCTATTGATATAGAAAAAATATAAAAAATTCAAATGCATTATTTGAACGGTTCAGTCCGGTATTTTTCGGTTCTCAAAATCTAGGACCGGTCCTGTACCCGTTTCAAACGGTACGGTTTCGGTACGGGATAAAAATCTATAGAACCGTTTAAATACCCGGTATTCAATTCGGTACCATTACGGGACGGTTCGGTACTGGTTCGGGTTTTATGCCCCCCCCCCCCCTCCCCCCCTAGATGGAAACACTTCACTTAATATTTAGTCCCATAAAATAAGTCGCACTTCAATTTGGATCATAGTTTAAGAAAGTGAGAATAAAGTGTAAATGTATGGTTGTGGTTGAGTAAGAAAAAATTAAATGAATGTTAGACACACAAAACTTTCCAAAAAGGGAAATGAGAACAATTTTTTGGGACGACCCAAAAAGGAAAGTGAGACTTATTTTATGAGACGGAGGGAGTATGTTTTTTGCTGATCCGATTTGATGGAATTCGTTCTGATTTATTTATAGTACGTGGTATGATAAATGCCTATTGTTTATTTATTTTACTAATGTTTTTATCTTATATGATTTGATTTAAGTTTAACCTAATTTGATTGTTGAGTTGTTGAGATACAAATCATTCCACTTAAAAACATGTTACATCACATCTATTATCATTATTTTTCAGAAAATAACATTACATTGTTTGAAACTTTTTATAAATATTTTGAATATATTGATAGACTATGTGATTTGGATTATAGAAATCCAAACATGTTATTTAGGAGAGATTGAGCTAATGAAGAGATGAAGAAGATGAACACTATAATGAATGTATAAATGTGTGATAAAACCAAGTGTGAAGTGCAGAAAAGTTTAATTTATCAAATACTCCCTCCGTATCATATTACAACATGGAAATTTACATACTATTCATATACACTAGTTTGACTACATCTATTAATTAATGTATGTGAATTATTTTTTTTGAAAAATATTGTTGAATTCGTCTCATTACAAAGAACTCATTTGGTAGTAGCCAAATTGACTATATTGGCTGGTTCCGCTGAAATTTATGAAGTTTTGGCTGATGTGGCTGTATTGGCTGATTCTGCAGATTTGTTAAAAATAATAATTTAAAATACAATTTATTAATAAAACAAAGAAAAAAATTATATGAAAAAATAGCTAAAATGACCCTCTACAGTAACTTCAGCCAATACAACCAGAAAAGTGACTTCAGCCTTACTTTTTATTATTATTACACAATTCAGCCCGAAAACCAAAAATTACATCTTTAGTAAAAAGGTTGGCTTAAGAGCCTGAAAAGCCAAAAAAGTTGGTTAACAAACGGGCACAAAGTTTCATAATTTGATTTTTAATTTTTTTTACTACTCCCACCGGTTCTGAAACAACTTCCCACTTTCTTTTTCGGGAAGTCCCGTAATTAACTTCACACTTCTTCTTATTTCCTTATTTGGCAAATTATTTACACCAAAACAGTGCAAAAAAGTGTCAAACAGTGCCAAACAGTGCAAAACAGTGTCAAACAATGCACTCTACGGTAAAGTCACATTTATTTTCTTAATGTGCGTGAAGTCAAAGTATGTTTCAGAAACCTATAATACTAAGGAACAAACTAAGTGTACAATATTAGACCACGTGAGTCACCCTACAAACTTTGAGACCATGGTCAAAGTTCATATACTCTAGTACCCACGTGGGCCGTATAGGAGTACATGTCATGATTAGTGGAATTTTAAGGTTGATGTGGGTGTGGGTGTGGATGTGGGTGATGGGAATGAGTATCTACGCTCACCGGCCAGTTTTCAATCCCCAATGTAGACGAAGGAAGCAAATGGAATACTCCTCTCTCCCTAATAATTTTACCAAATTTGACCGTCACGGAGAATAATAAAATAAAAACTGTGTGATTGAGGTTTGTGCAGAGGAGAGAATGAATTGAAACCACAAATTCCTTACTTAAAAGGGAAAGTGACAAAGTTAGTGCGATATACAAAAAAAGAAAGTTGACAAAGTTATAAGAAACGAGGGAGTATAAAAAAGGGTATGGAAGTGAGCCAACCAATATACTTGAACAAAGCCCATTTCAGGATGCAAAATAATGATTGTTCTCCATATTTATGCGTTGGATTTCACAAAAAAAATGGTACCTGAACTTGTCTCAAGTAGTATAAAGAGTACATTACATTACATCTAACACTACAAAGTACATCAATTTAATTTTTAGTGTCAATTGAGTATGACCTTATCACAAACGTTAAAAAAACGATGAGATGGCTACAACTATAGCTGACATGGCTAAAAAACGTGTAAACAATTTTATTAATTAAACTAAGACCGTTCAATTATGCTCATATTTCTTTGTTTCATCTTATTGTTTTCATTTTCAAATCAGATTTCCAGAATAATTTCATCGATCTCTAGATTTCAAAATTAGTTCTCCACCATTCCGAACTAAGAAATAAAAGTCTAGACTCTATAAACCAAAGCTAAAAAATCACAACAATAAAAAACACTTTAAACTCAGGTAAAAGATGATTTTGTAAAGTTGAACAATTTAGGAAGAAGAGAACATGTAGAAATCGATGATGGCTATTGGAATAAAACAAGTTTCACTGACGCCCTTCACATCTTTAATTAGTGCAAATGGAAAATACAAACAAATAATTCTAGCCAATTGAGCTTCTAATGAACGTTTATATATATGACAAATATATTAGATCAACTTTAAAATTACAAGTTGATGTACTTTGCAGAATGAATTGCAAGATGAATTGCTATTCACTCCTCATGAGACAATTTGATGTATCAATTTGACTTTTACTCGAAAACAAAAGTTACACTATGAGGCTTAAATAGGCATTGTTTTAGCTGGTCATTCTAGATTTATAAAACGGGTGTTCTCCGCGGACCCCATACGTACTAGGCGCACCCACTTTGTTTCATTATTGGACAATTTTGTCATTTGTGTCACTCAGTCTCACTCCTTACAAATGAAACAATGAGTAAACCTCCTCAATACTACGTAATGCGTCATGAGTGAAGATGATAAGTTTAAATTGAGTTTGATGGACTCTTGTGACATGTTCCCCCAATCCGTCCACATATACATTTTCCTCAATATTTTATTCATAAGTAGCTTTGATCTTACATATTTAGTACTAATTAAAAGATTAGTGGTACTGGACTCTCGCATGGTCGAGACTTTCTCTCTCTATATGGTGGATTTCCACCACTAGAGTTTTCTTCTCCGCTATCGATTCTTTCGAGGAGCGGCTGTCTCCCTACACTAGTTAGGGTTTTTGTTCCGCCGATCGAGCTTTGTTCATGCGGCTGGGTTTTTCGTGGAACGGGAGCTTTGTGATTGGAGTTTCGGAACGTGAGTGGAACACAAGGGCGGTGGGTGTGGCTTCAATTTTTTGACCGAAAAAACACAAGGCAACATGATTGAGTTTCTTATGCACCTCAGACATGGATTTCAATGGCAAATCTCAAGGAGCAAATTGGCAAGAGCAAGAAGAATAGGGTTTGACGAATTTTCTGAGGGTTGAAATTCTCTTCTACCATACTACAACATCTCACCCTCCTCCGGAACCACCTCCGTGCGAAGAAGCAATTTGGGGAAGTTTTTATTTTCGTATTATTTTTCCTTTCGTAGTACTTATTTTTATTTCAGTTCGAGCAAATATCGTTGGAGTATTTTTTATTTTTTAATTCAGGTTGCTTTGTATTGGTGGCTGACTCTAATATAAGTCTATTCCTAGGGCTTACGATCGGATCTGTAATAGCTGTCAGGATTGTGTCTTGCATGTTTGCTCTATATTAATTAAAAGCCGTTTTGATGATAAAAAACATATTTTGTACTCAATTGACAATTGTTAAATATTATCCAAATTATCTTGGTAGGCTGAAAATATGCCAAACTAGGGAGAATGACCACAAGAACATGTTGGGACACAATCGCCGTTAAAATTGAACCATCTTTCAAAAAGTACACACTATTTTACTTTTTTTTTTATCATCAAAACAACCGCTTGTATTAATATCATTAGAAATCAGATCGTTACAACAAACTCAAATAGACCAACACTGACAACAACCATCTCTAACCAACTAGCACTATTAACCCTAGCGGGTGTGACACAATAATCAATGGTCACATAGATCATTCTAACGACATAATACCTAGCTGAATTGTCAATCATTATTGTAGACCTAAATCTAAAGACATCA